TCCACCCCAACATCAAGATCGCTGATGAAGAAATTGAACAGCGCAGGCCCCAGGACCGAGCCCTGGGGGACTCCACTACCCACCTCCCCCCAAGTCGAGTATGATCCATCCACCACCACCCTCTGAGTGCGACCCTTCAGCCAATCTGCAATCCATCTGACTGTGTAGGCAGGTTGGAAGGGACCTGAGCAGATCATCAAGTCCGACCCCTGCCATGGCAGGAAAGAGCACTGGGGACAAACGATCCCGGCAAGGTGTTCATCCAGCCTCCACTTACAGACCCCAGGGTAGGAGCCAGCACCACTTCTCTTGGAAGTTGGGTCGAGATCCTAGCGGCCCTGACAGTGAAGTCGCTACTCCTGATGTCTAGTCTGAATCTTCTCTCCGTCAACTTATGGCCATTATTCCTCGTTACTCTCGGCAGTGCTTGGGGGAACAGAGACTCTCCCAGTGCCTGCTGGTCTCCCCTGACTAATTTGTAACAGGCCACCAGATCCCCCCCCAGCCTTCTCTTGTGGAGGATGAACAGGTTCAGGTCCCGTAGCCTCTCCTCGTCAGGCCTGCCCTGCTGCCCCCAGATTATGCGAGTGGCTCTCCTCTGGACCCTCTTCATGCTGTCCACATCCCTACTGAAGTGCAGCACCCAGAACTGGACAAGCGCCCTGACCTGTGTCATGTAGAGGGGAAGGATCACCTCCTTGGACCTGCTCGAGATGCATCTGTGGATGCACGACAAGATGTGGTTGGCTTTCCTGACCGCGTCCCCATGTTCCTGTCGGCCCATGTTCATTTGGGCATCAATAATGACTCCAAAATCCTTTTCTGCCTCTGCACTGACGAGAAGGGAGTTCCCCAGCCTGTAGGTCTGCTGCTGGTTCTTCCTCCCCAGGTGCAGCACCCTGCACTTGTCAGTGTTGAACCCATCCTGTTCTCATCCGCCCACCCCTGGAACCTGTCCAGGTCCCATTGCAGCCTGTCCCTCCCTTCTAGCGTGCCCACCTCCCCACATCTTCGTGTTGTCAGCAAATTTGAGTAGGGTCTTTTCTGCCCCCTCATGCAAGGTGCTGATGAAGATGTTGCAGAGTGCGGACCCGAGGACCGAGCCCTGGGGGACCCCACTGCCCACATCCCTCCAGGTCATAGTTTCATAGTCTCACAGTAGCTAGGGTGAGGAGGGACCTGAACAGATCATCTCGCCTGACCCCCTGCCACCGGCAGGAATGAATGCTGGGGTCACAAGACCCCAGACAGGTGATCATCCAACCTCCTCTTGGATTTACCCAAGGTAGGGGTGAGGACCAGATTTTGGCCTCCCTAACTTTAAATATTGCCTTCTGATCTCCAACCTAAACCTATTC